AAGATTTTTCTATTGTATTATTAGTGACAGCTACTGAATTTAATGTAGCATCTTACTGGCTATTAAATATGTTATTGATACCATTCTTCTCCTTTATCAAACACATCTAAAAAGTAAAAGTATATGAAAGAGCAGAATAGCTTCATTAGACATGAAATTACAGTCCTATACATGGTATGAAAGTGTTGATTCCAGTGCTATAGTATTTTTTCTCTTTTCCTTCTTAGTTGTGTCTGGTAAATACATGGCAAAAGCTTTCAAAGCAAACCTGAGTATACCATTTTAGGATACTGACTTGCCAACTGTACCTGCAGAGCTATTAACCATGAGGGTTTGGTCTTACAATGACACATCACTTTGAAGGATGATTTTGTTATCTCTCATTTACAGTCAAAATTAAATGGGTTACAAACACATCTTCTAATTCTTCATTTGGGACCATCCATTTTATAATGCACTTGTCTGAAACCAAAGAATATACCCAACTGTGTCTTGTGATCTTAACATTAAGTAATTGGACAGATAAGGGTGTATGCTGCACTAGATAATGTCCTGTCTTTCAGTCAGCATAATGAGGCACACAGTACCCTTCTCATCAAATGGGAACTAGCCTTTATCTCATATAACAAATGTTGGCATCTCTGAGACTTGATATAATGGTACATGACAAGACAAATAACCCCCTGTTTCAGAAAGTATTTTTTTGTAATGATAAAAAATATAAATGTCCAATTTTATGAATACTCAATTTTTCAAAAACAGGATGAAAGAAAAAACAGCAATTAAAGAGAAAGTCTGTTGAATTTTATTGTATTAAATATAGAGACATATTCTTGTAAGATGTTTGAAATTATATGATCCTCTACTATATTTAGAAGAATGGAAACATTGCCAAATGTGGTGATTTATTAGAGTAGATAATATTTTCTTATAAGCATATTAAAGCATAAAATGAGCATTGAGAGCATAATAAAAATTTGATTCAGCAAATATTGCGTACTGGAAAGTACTAACTTTGCTTTTCCTACATGTTTCTAATCATTAAAAGATTTCCTAAGGTAAATAATTTCCAGTTAGAGATGAGAAAATTGAAGTTTAGGGAGGTTGAGTAATGTGCCTCTAATCACAGAGTGTTTAAATGATGGGACCAATATTCTACTAAAGGATCAATGTCCCAGAGTTTTAATACTGCACATTGTCCTTCTAGGAAGTTGTTTAGGAGCAAAGATTTTATTATTACAAAGCCCTTAATTTGAATTCCAGCTCTGCTTCACATTAACTGAATGGGATATTGACTTCTTTGTCTGTAAATTAGAAATAATAATACAAGTGAATAAAGTTACTGTGGGAATTAAATGGAGCAATGAAAGTAGAGAGCTTAGCACTCTGAGATAGCATACAGAAAGTAAATAAATGATAGTAGGCATAAAAGTTGATTAATAAAGGATCTAAAATATTTTCTTATGAAAGGTTAACAAACGTATTACAGAGTATAGGCTTTATTTTTTTCACAATTGAAAGGAATGCATCACTTCACTATATCACTATAGAGTCATATCTTGCATTGTGAATAAGACTGTTACTACTTCATGTGTTTGTTTTGTGTTTGAAGACTTTTAAGAGAAGTTGTTTTCCAAGCACACTAGAGAGAGAATTAAGTCCTTAACAAAATACATTTCAGCAAACATAATGTTAGAGGTGATACTTAATGAAGGTGATGCCAAAAGTTATTGGTTGAAAGTAATAACCTTACTAAAATTTTAGGTTTGACATCACTCTGAAACAAATTGTTTCCAGCATTTCTAAGATAAGAAAACATTAAGGTTGGAAAGTCTTCAGATTTACATGAAAACGCCTGGCAAAATGCACATCAAAAAGTATTCTAGTCTTCTAAATATGACATTAAATATAAATTATATTCAGAGATTCACATATGAAAGATTTAGATTAAATCTTTTTCTCTGAACATTTTTATTGTTGCTCTTAAAAACATATTTCATTTAATTGATTCTAAACTGAGGTTAAAAAATAAAATATCTAAATTCTTATGATAATTCTGGCCAGATGATCAGCGAAAGTACACTAAAACAATAAGTTTTGAAATAAATAATTTTTTGGTAACAAAATTTCTCATAAGGAAAAGGGAGGGTCTACTAACATTGTAAATGCCAGAGAAAATATCTTCCCTCCCCATGAACAATGTTATTTTTGGATTAGAATTAATTCATTTTACTGGTCAACATAGGACAGAAAATTAATCAAGCTCCATGAAATTAAAAAAAAGCTGATATCTGAGGTAAATTTGCTATAATTTTTAACTGAAATTGGCTTATTTTGACTGACTTAACCATTTGATATTTTTGCAATTTTATTTAGAAAATGAATACTTGAAGCAAGTACATGATCTCTCAGCATGAATTATGTGGTTTAAACCACCAGTCAGATAATGTCCCAGTTCCTTTTTATTTTTGATTTTCAAGAACGGACAACTGTGTTCAGTTAATCACATAGAAGCTTCTATTACAAACATAGGAGGCTTTAATAATAAAAACCAAACTCAAGGATCCTGGCTATGTGGTATCTGCATTCTCTAAAGCTGCAATTTATATTATCTCTGTATCCTAAGATTTCTTTGGGGTAGAGTAAAAGAAACAATTGTGTTCATTTCACAGGTGGATATATGAAGGCAAATAAAAAATGGCATTTAAGTCATATCTATTTTTGTAATTGAGAATGAAATGTGAACTTCTACTAGAACACTAATAAAGTTTCATATAAAAGACTGTGCTTTTAAAACCTGCTTGAGAAACCACCTTTAAGAGAGAAAGTTGAATGTATCAGGTCTGGATTTTAATTCTGAATCTTGAAAGTAGTTATATGAACCTAGGCAAACTATTTAGTGTCTCTGAGTCTGCTACTTATTAATGAGTATTGGATTATAATACATTCCATTAAAACTATTAAAAAACTAAGATCATGGCATTCGGTCCCATTACTTCATGGCAAATAGAAGGGGAAAAGGTGGAAGCAATGACAGATTTCCTCTATTTTGGCTTTAAAATCATTGTGGCCAGTGACCACAGCCATGAAATCAGAAGACAATTGCTTCTTGGCAGGAAAGGTATGACAGACCTAGACAGTGTGTTGAAAAGCAGAGAAATCACTCTGCAGGCAAAGGTCAGTATAGTCAAGGCTACGGTCTTCCTAGTGGTCATGTAGTGTTGTGAGAGCTGGACTGTAAAGAAGGCAGAAGGCCAAATAATTGATGCCTTTGAACTGTGGTGCTGGAGAAGACTCCTGAGAGTTCCTTGGACAGCAAGGAGATCAAACCAGCCAATCTTAAAGGAAACCAACCCTGAATATTCATTAGAAGGACTGATGCTGAAGCTGAAGCTCTTATTTTGGTCAGCTGATGCGAACAGCTAAATCATTGGAAAAGTCCCTGCTGCTAGGAAAGATTGAGGGTAGAAGGAAAAGAGGGCATCAGTGGATGAAATGGTTGAATGGCATCTCCGATCAAATGGACATGAAGTTGGGTAAGCTCCAGGAGATGGTGAGGGACAGGGAAGCCTGGTGTGTGGCTGTCTATGGGGTTGCAAAGAGTCAGACACAACTGGGCGCCTGAACAATAACAATATAATACCTACCTCAAAATATTATTAGGAGGATTAACTGAAATATATGTGAAAATACTCAGCACATATCAGTATTTTTATGTTTCTATTCTTCTTTTATTATAGAATCATCTATTTTATCTGGTAAATTACATGAAGTTACATGAAACTTTAAGAGAGAGTTTACTGATGGCAGTCTCTGTGAATAATTTAGCTTTAAAAACTAAAGACAGTACAATTCATAATTATATTTAGAAGTTAGGCCAAGGGATTGATGTAGCCAGAAATGTGAATAAATGTTATTAAGATAACACAGCAGAATTTTAATGGCATTCTGTCATCCATTTAAAATATTTTTCCCCAAATAAAGCACTGAAGTTTGGCAAGACATAGTAAAAGTAAACAAACTCAGAGAGTCTACAAAACATTTTCTTTTTCATAGACAAGGAATAATAAAGAAAAGTTATTATTAGAATCAGAACAATATTTTTGCCCAGAAATGCAAAGGAGAAGGATAACAGAGTGGAATATTTCTTGTATGAACAGTTATTAAAATGGAGTTGGTGTTCAGCCTAAGAATTGAACCTAAATTGGAAGAAAAGCTATGGTTGAGCTGAAAAGAGCACATTTAGAGTGACACCTAATGCTCAAAAGAACACATTATGACTATTTCTAATGTGCTCTGACTCCCCAGGTGTACAGATCTGAGAGTCTCCATCACTTTCTCTCCACAGCCTGCTCATCCTATTCTCCTGCCCATACTTCCATCCATGTTACCTTTCAATTATAAATGAAAGACAGAAAAAAAAGTGAGCCTTCTAGATCATGGAAACTGTTTACATGACTCTGCCTGGTTAAGATTCACAATTTACATTAAAATTTATATTCTAAATGGGCTTACCTGGTAGCTCAGATGGTAAAGAATTTGACTGCAATGTCAGAGATCCAGGTTTGATCCCAGGGTAGGGAAGATCCCCTGGAGAATGGAATGGCAACCCACTCTGGTATTCTTACTTGGGGAATTCCATGGACAGAGGAGCCTGGTGGGCTACAGTCCATGGGGTCACAAACAGTCAGACATGACTGAGACTAACATTTTCACTTATAGTCTAAAACACCAAATTCATTTAAGTAGTGTATAGAGGATCACATACTTGCCTCTATTTACCTCTTTCCCACTAATTATGTAAAAATATTTTAAAGTTTTATATCTTCTCTTTTGATTTTTGACTTCTTGGCACATAATGTGCACACATCTGTGAAATACATATATATATATATGTTTTTACTTACTTCACAGCATTATTTCCAAATATGTTCAGTTACATAGTGAAGTGTCACTGAATTTATAAAACTTTTAAATTTTAAAATGTTTTTTCTACATACCAGCGCCATCTGTTTTAATTTTGTTTGATGGTATACTGGGCTCTCCTATACCCAATGTATTGGTTGCTACCACACGAAATTCGTATTCCATCCATGGGATTAAATCCACTGCTCTTGCTGCCTCCATGTTTCCTTCAATAATTGGGGGATCTAAATAAAACAAATATTAAATAGAGAATATTAGTTGAGTAACATCACTCTTATAATTCCCTATTTTTATTTTACTCTTTTGAGAAAATGGCACATATTCCACTAAGTCAAATAAAAATAAAAACTAGGATGACAAAATATTAATTACATTTAAGAAGTAAGAAGAGAGGTCCTTAAGAAAATCTTAGACCTTAGAAAGACAGACACACATATGTATTATTTATTTAGTAAGTATCGGCCGGGAGCACTAAGATTCTGCTCTTCTGACTGACTCCCAGGTCAGGTCTTTGCTGCTAGTCCACCGACTACACTCTGAACACTGAGAATATGTATTCTGAAGACAGAATCCAGAAAGATTCTTGACGCGAGGGTATGATTCAGGAAGTTAAAATTTTTCTGGACTCAAACTGATACAGTGTATGGGCAGCAAATGATTGATTAGTACAAGTACCTATATGTTTATACCCTTTTGTTGTTAGTTTTTAGATTTAAACCCAAATCATTTGGGGCAGTTATTAGTAAACGTTAAAATAATTCATTCATATTTATTTACCATTCAGAATTTATGCTACTAGATACTAACAGGAAAATTCTACTTAGGAGTAAGATGTGCTTCAAGATTGCTTATTTAGTTGAGGTATTAGAAACATACAACCAAGGCAGGACCATACATTATTTTCAGTTAGTTCTCCTAAAATATTCTTAGGGCTTCCTTGGTGGGTCAGACAGTAAAGCGTCTGCCTACAATGCGGGATACCCGGGTTCAATCCCTGGGTCAGGAAGATCTCCTGGAGAAGGAAATGGCAACCCACTCCAGTATTCTTGCCTGGAAAATCCCATGGACAGAGGAGCCTGGTAGGCTACAGTCCACAGGGTCGCAAAGAGTCAGACATGACTGAGCGACTTCACGTCACTTCATCTTCTATCTCCTCCACCACACCCTCATCTTCTATCTCCTCCACCACACCCTCACACCATATCAGAATCTGTTTGTCTTATTTCATATACATAAGAACTAATTTTAGGTAATTGGAAGAGGAAAGATGAAGTTTTGACTGTGCAGAACCCTCACAGAAAAAGGGGAAACACAGGGCTCATTGTTATGACATTGGGTACAGTCTTCCTCACTAGATGCCTTTTAATGATTTTGAGCTTCCATGATTTGAATGGTGATTGTCCCTCCCCCGCCAAAAGGTATGTCTATGTTCAAACCACCAGAACTTTGAATGTGACTTTGTTTTGCAAGGAATTTATAGACCATTTTAATTTTAAGACTAAAATCAAGTTAAAAATCTTTGGCTAAAATCACCCTGGATTATCTAGATGGATCCTAAATCCAGTGACCAGTGTTCTTATAAGAGAAACACAACAAGGAAACAGAGAAGAGGAGGGTGAAAGGTGACCACAGAGGCAAAAACTGAAGTGAAGCAGCCACATGCCAAGGAGTATTTAGAGCCTCTAGAAGCTGGGAAAGGCAAGGAATGGGTTGTTCCCTGAGATTCTTGGAGACAGTACAGCCCTGCCAGCACCATGATTTTGTACTTCTGTTGTTGTAAACCACCCAATCTGTGGTAACATGTTATGACAGCCCTAGGGAATTAATACAGAGATTTAGAGGCAGAGACTGATGGAAATATCTGTGAGTTTGTGAGTCTGGAAAGTACAAGTTAAAAAGTATAACAGAAGGGTCAAGGAGGCTGTCGGATACTCTCCTCTGCTACTTATGCTGCAAAACCCCAGCCCCATTTAAATGTCTGAGAATGGAAATGTTGAAACTGTTCTAAAGGGCCATTCTTGGCAAGAGCATGGTGCTCTCAAGATGGTAAAACCCACACTGGGGCTTTTCCAAGCAGCTGGGCAGTCAACAGGTAGGGGCAGGTGAAGTTTGGGTCAGAACAGGAATACCCTGATGGATGTGCAGTAAAAACTCAGCTGATAAACTGACTCCAAACATGCATGAAGGTCCAATACTAAAATATCTCCAAACAAATGGGAGCTCAGGAGTATGTCCTGAGTAGAAAGTCATACTTGACTACAGAAAATATTTGGAAGAATGGTGAGAGATAAAGAAAATTCAACTGGAGTTATTTTAGGGTGTTTTAGATTCCAGATGAAGAAGTATGATCTGTGACTAAATTAAGTCTGAGGTGAAGAAAGAACATGCAGAGACCCTTGGAGTTACATTACAACCATGAGAAGACAGGCCTCAGTGGGAAACCCTTGGCCTAGTGATGCAAATGACTTTCAAAACAGGAAATTGGGAGTGGGTGTTAGGAAGATAAACTTTCAAGATGTACCTTATGAATAATTAAAGAAGGAATTTTATATCAATAAGCTAATAATATATCTACAAATATAGCTAAAGGTGTAAAAGCTCCTCTTTTTAAGAACAAAACCAGTTATGATCATTCTTATTAATATACACTAACATCAGCACCTATAAGATGGTAAGTATTTAAAACAAAAAAGTTTTTGGCATATCTTTACAATACCCCCTGTATAAAACCATTTATATAAGTAGTAGGGCTAATCTAGCAAAAATGGCAAATACCAGTCATTTTAGAAAAATGTATCTAGAATTAAATGTGTTTCTGTATCTGGCCTGCTTTCCTTCTTCAGAAGGGGTCAGGACTTTTGACTCATAATACATCACAAGAACAGGATTTAAAAGTTTGCTTTCTAATTTTTTTTTCCTGTCCAATCTTGAGCTAAGCAGCCCATATTGTCATTTTACAATTAGAACCTCAAGATTGGCTATGTCCATACCAGGCCATGCTCATAATAAATCTCTATGTCCCACTTATTTACTCCTATTTGTCATTTATGGAGATATATATATATATATATATATATATATATATATATATATATGTATACACACACACACATCCATATATATGCTTGTGTTTCTTTTACTTCTTAATCATGTTTTGGGGCCACTCAAGGCTTCATATACCTAGTATGATGTCTTTCAGGTAAAAGTACTTGATAAATATTTGTAGAAATTGTAAACAAAATACAAATACAGAGGTTGTGCTTATTTAGAGTCTACAATGTCTCAGCACAACCATGTGTACAACAATCACTTTATTTTTTCCTTCAACCCTGAATCAGGCAGGCTACTCGTAGTAGAAAAGAGGGCATTATATTACTTGAACCCTCCAAAAAATATCCATGCTTTATGATTTTTATATCTATATTCAAATCATAAATTATCCTGCCTTGTCTAAAGCAGAGGATAAAGCTCGTCTCCATCCTCTTAAGCTCTCTCCCATTCTCTTTAACTCTGAATTGGTCTTTTCTGATTTCTCTCCTCCACTGCTACTATGTTTTACCTCATTTTTATTTATTTTATTCATAGCCCTAAATGTTCCTATAAAAAGGATTTGTACCTCTTGTAATTTTATCCAATCCCTTTAGCCTTGGTAGAAGCTAATGGATGTATTTTATTTTTCCAAAACCATCCACACAGATAGGTTGGAAGCAAAGGTCATCTTTCCTTTGGAAAGAGTTTCATGCCCCAAGCCAAATGGACAATAATCAGGAGCAGAGGGACTTTGTGTCTCCTTTCTTCAGCCAAGTCTTTTGCAACCTGTTTGCTATTTCTGGAGTCAGAAAGAGAGGTGAGTACTTTGCATAACAGAGGCAAGTACCCAGAGTTAGGACTGAGAGCTCAAGTTCCTGAGTTTCTATTGAGTCAGTTCTGAGTCAGGTCATTTTTTACAGACATCAGTGTAGAAAATAAGATTTTTAACTGTATAAGGTCAGAGGCTTCTCTCCATTAAAAAAAAAAAAAAGTAAAATGTTGTATATTAATCTGATGGGTATTTAGATTGGATGCAAAGGGATGTAGAATAGGAGACATAAATCTTACTTTAATATTCAGATCAAAAGACCCTTCTTTAGAAGGTCTTATTTTGATAACCAGCCCTAGCAGTAATGTAGAGATATATTTTCAAATAGTTTTAGCCCATAATCCTCAGAGTTAAAAAAACAAATTCTAGCTGTTCTTTGGAGGAAAAGAGAAGCAAGCCTCATGGGTATCCCAAGGCCAAAAGTTACAAGGTTTTGGTTTCTGGTGTTTTGTCATATGCTTTGTATTGCTGTGCCTTCTAAACCACATTGATTAATTCTTTGAGCAACTTTAGAAACACACAGACTGAGAAAAAGTAGATGTTTCAAAAATAACTCCAGGCAATGTAATCACCTGTTCTAGATTTTCCAATGTTGCCATAGTAAGTGCTGCTATTTCCTCAGGATTTAAATACAATCCAAATCCTCAGGATCTTCCATTTCAATCTCAAACACAAGTTTTTGAAAGTACCTGGAAACAATTACCCACTTGGGAATTCTAGCTGAAAAAGCCAGTCCATCGTTGGAAAATGAAAATGGGCATTTAAAGGCCTCTCTCTGGCACTGACACAACTACCCTGTGTGATGTTAGAGGATCTAGACCCAACACACAGACCATTTGGCAGGACTCAGGGAGGAGCCAGAGGTGTGACAAAGTTCCTTGAAGAGAAAGAGAAAGTAGGCTGTGCTTTAGCGTCCCAGAGTGTATGATTCATTGATTCTTCTCTAGGGAAATTTGCATGTAGCCTCATAAAAACCCAGAAATTTTTATTTGAAATGAGAACAACAGAAGTGAAGCTCCAGAAAGGCAAACACAAAAACAGTACATTTTAAAATGCAAATCTCCTACAAGGAGCCTAATTATTTTTTCATTTTTCAATCTATTACCTTGGCAAAGATTAAAAAAAAAAATTAATACTAAGTAGAGATATGGTAGAAAAGAAACTCATATACTGGTGGTGGAAGTAAAAACTTATACCTTTCTACAGTGTAATTTTGCAGTATAACTCATGAGCTTAAGCATGCTTACAGTCAATAATTTAACTTATAAATGTTTATTCTGAGGAAATAATCTAAAATTCAAAGAAACATTTATGTACCGAGATGATAATTGCAAAGATTTATAACAATTCTAGTCTTCCACATGA